ATAGATAGATAGATAGATAGATAGATAGATAGATAGATAGATAGATAAATAGATCAACCTTTATTTATACAGGTAAATCCCATTGAGCCTCGAGGACTCATTTACAAGAGAGACCTGATAAATATAACGTTGCTTCTTCATGGATTTTCACTTACTGTGGGGGAGGGGGGGACCTAAAACCCGCAATAAACGAGGGACTAATGCATTAAAAAATATATATATATATTTGGTGTCATGTGACATTGATTTTCCCAAATGTCAATTTGGTAAATCTCTGTCCTGTTAATTTCTGGTTTTATGGTTAATTTAATATGTGTTTGAAGTCAACAGAAGGCTGTCTTACTTTCAAAACTGACGGATACTGTATCTCTGTGGTGTTTTTGTGCTTGACTTCCTGCCAGTATTATTTAATCTATGCTTCACTTCACATTTACAGTTGTCACTCTCTTGCCTATTTCTAAAAAAGAAGCAACATGCGGAGTCATTTCTGACTGGCCTCTATGTGGAGAGTCTAGGGAAGCACAAGCGATAACTAAATTAGCAACAACGTACTTTTGTCGTTATATGAAACAACCTCACATCTTCATCTATTAATGACTGGTGTTGTTGTTATGTGTCACCTTTTATGGTATTATCAGTTTCTGGAGAAAAAAAACTGTTTCTTTTTAATCTGTTTGTACAATATCTTATCTCTTTCTCATGCACCATTTTTATAACAATGGGCAACAGGCACAATCTACCATAAATAATTGGTTTACATGGGTGATAAACTTTTTATCTATATTTACAGCGTATTTGTTAACACTGACAAGCAAAATTACTTTGCTTTATTTATCTCTTGGCATTTTTTACAGTGGCACAACTGAAGTTTTACATGCACTTGCATCATGACAGGAGGATATTAATTATAAATGGCTAAGTCCTAAACATTAAATATCCCATTTATTTTAAAGGTACAGGTTTGTTTAGCTTGTTTTTACTTTTTAAATCAATTAAGTGCATCAGCCCTAATAGCTTGTATCAAAGGGCTCATTGCCGTGAAATATTTTGCCTAAAATGAAACCATTTCAGTTTTAATTGACATCATATCTCATCAATAACTTTCTAAAATGTTTAAATTAAAGGCCTTCTTTTTATTGGACAAGTTACTATACCATCAGGAAAGCACTTCTTACAGGGATCCATTAAGCTTTTAATGGATTGAACATCAAGACTGCTGTGATCTTTACATCACCAATTTTTATTTTTTTCATGTTCACCTTGTATTATAACTTGTTTATTCACAGAACTCCATGATCATAGGTGAAAAGTTTGAGTTGCTCAGTGGTGATGATGATAATAAATATTAAAACAACTTTCATGCGGTGTGTGTGTGACGCTTTTTAGTTTGTTTGCAAGACCTTACAACTTTGGAGTTGAGTATTAGGACAGTTTTTGGAGCGTTCCACATTGAGCAATATAATAAATTCTGACAGTTTTGATCATGTTTGTGAAAAATAGCATCAGCTTGGGTGAAGAGAACAGATGAAGTCTCATTACGAGTGTTATAACAGCTGATTATGTTCGGTAATGATTCAGAGCAGGTGCTTTGTCAGTGTTACAACTCAAGATAATGACCAAATATGGTTTTTAACAACACTTGAATGCTAAAAAGATGTTTTGGGTTCATGAAACAGAAAAAGGAAATAGAAAAGCATCACAAACATAAAAAAATAAAGAAACGTTTAAAGGCTTTTTTCTTTATAGTAAGCCAATAAATTTATAATTATGGCATTTCTATTATTGTTATTATTATTTTGATTATTATCATTTTCTGACAGCTGTATCTGAGTGGTAAGAGCAGTTATCCTCCAATGCAAGAGTTGGGGGTTCGACTCCATCAGCAGTCACATGCCGAATTGTCCCTGGGCAAGACACTGAACCTCTCATTGCCTCTGATATGTGTCCCATTTGTGTATGATCTAAAAGCACTGAGTGCTGTATGAACGGGTAAATGAGGGCACAGATTGTAGTGTAAAGAGTTTTGAGTATCTTGATAAGATAGAAATATAAGTGCAGTCCGTTTACCATATTACCATTTATAAATCAAACTCAATATTTTCAATATATTTCATCCAAACAATTTAGGGTACCACTTTCCAATAAGACTCCCCTTATATGGATAATAAATAGTTTATAGATATATAATTAATTCCTCTATAAACACTTTATAAATGATTAATTACTGCTTATTATGCATTAATTAAGAGTGACAAAG